CCCCCCCCCCCGCCGCCTCTCCCCCCGCAGCCTCGCCCCGCCCCTCCCGGGGCTGCGGCGGTGCCGTTCCGCACCGGGGCCGCCGGGGGCGCCCTCGCCGCCCGCTCCGGTGCCGGTGCCGCTTGCGGCCGCGGAGCGCCGGGATCCGCCAGCCGAGCCAGGTAGGGCCGGGGCCGCTCCTGTCGCGACGTGTCGCCATGAGGGATGGCAGCTGCCACTGCCCCGCGGCTGCGACATCGCCGCCTCTGCCCGCAGACACCCCCAGCCCCCATCCCGCGGGTGTGCCCCGGGCCCTGCCTCTGCCAGACCCCTCACCCTCGGGGGGACCCCCGGGGGGTCTGGGGCGTCCCCGGGGGGCGGCAGGGCCGGGAGACTGGGGGAGCCGGGGGGGTCCCTCCCGCCCCGACACTGTCGCCGTGTCCCCAGGCCGGAGCTGCGGGGGCAGAGCCATGAGTGTGGGCTGAGCCCCCCCGGACCTGCGCCCACCCCCAGGTGAGAGCACGGGGAGCGCTGGGGGCACCGGGAGGGCTGGGGGTACTGGGAGTGCTGGGAGCTCTGGGGGCACTGGGAGAACTGGGAATGCTGGGAGCCTGCACTGGGAGCACTGGAAGCGCTGAGAGCACTGGGAGAATTTGGAACACTGGGGGAACTGGGAGAATTTGGAACACTGGGAGAAATGGGAGCACTTTGAGAACTGGGAGCACTGGGAGGCACTGGGGATACTGGGAGCACTGGGGCGGGATAGAGGGGTCCAAGCACAGCAGAACGGGGGAGCGGGGTGGGGGGCACTGGGCAGGGTACTGGGATGAACTGGGAAACTGGGAGAACTGGGAAACTGGGACATGGGAGTGCTGGGAGACGCTGGAGGCAGAGCAGGGAATGAGGGATGGTGCACGGCACTGGTGGCACTGGTTTGTACTGGGAGTCACTGGGGGTTCTGTGGGCACTGGTTTGTACCGGGGGTCCGTGGGGGTTGCCGTGGGCACTGGTTTGTACTGGTTTGTACTGGGAGGGGCTGTGGGCATTGATTTGTACCGGGGTTCCCTGGGGGTTGCCGCGGGCACTGGTTTGTACTGGGAGGGGCTGTGGGCATTGATTTGTACCGGGGGTCCCTGGGGGTTGCCGTGGGCACTGGTTTGTACTGGTTTGCACTGGGGATGCTGGGTGGCAGCAGGAGGCACTGGGGGCTCTGGGTTGTGCTGGGGGCACTGGGAGGAGCTGGGGGCCCTGGGGACACCAGGGGGCACTGGGAGGAGCTGGGTTGTACTGGGGGGCACCGGGGGGGGGGCCCACTGGGGGGCACTGGGGGGGGCTGCCCTTCCCCGGGGGCACCGGGGGGGGCACTGGGGACACTGGGGGGGCAATGAGGACACTGGGGACACTGGGGGGCACCCAAGGGTTGGGGTACCCAAGGGTGGGGCACCCAAGGGTTGGGGTACCCAAGGGTTGGAGCACCCAAGGGTGGGGTACCCAAGGGTTGGGGTACCCAAGGGTTGGGGCACCCAAGGGCGTGGGTGCTCAGGGCTGAGGGCACCCCAGAATGCGGCTGTGGCACCCGTGGGGCGCCCCTGTGTGGGGGCAGCCAAAAATGGGGCACCCCAGGGTTGGGTGTTGGGGGCACCCCAGGATCGTGTGGTGGGGACACCAGGGGAAGGGCGATGGGCAGTGACAGAGGGGTGACAAAGGCCGTGCCAGGGGGGTCAGGGCTGTGGGGGTGGCGGCAGGTGCCAGGGAGGTGCCACACAGGGATGGGCGGTGCCAAGGCGGTGACACCTGGGGACAGGGGAGGTGACAGGAGGTGCCAGGGCGGCGCCATGCAGGGACAGGAGGTGCCAGAGCGGTGACACCTGGGGACAGGCGGTGCCAGGAGGTGCCAGGGTGGTGACACGAGGGGACGGGAGGTACCAGGGCAGTGCCAAGGCAGTGACACCGGGGGACAGGCAGTGACAGGAGGTGCCAAGGCAGTGACAATGGGGACAGGGGAGGTGACAGGAGGTGGCAGGGCGGTGACACCTGGGGACAGGGGAGGTGACAGGAGGTGCCAGGGCGGTGCCATGCAGGGACAGGAGGTGCCAGAGCAGTGACACCTGGGGACAGGCGGTGACAGGAGGTGCCAGGGCGGTGCCGCTCCCCGCGGCGCAGGCTCTGGCGCCGCTGCTGTCGGTGACAGCGGCCCTGTCGCGACAGGCTGCTGCCCAGGAACGGCTGCTCGTGCGAGGCGGAGGCGGAGGCGGGGCTGGCGCTGCCGCTGCACCGGCGGCTCTTCGGGCCCGGCCCGGCGGGGCTGGACTTCGCCAGCGCCTTCGCCCCCGGGGAGCGGCCGCGGCAGCTGCGGCTGCGGGAGCGCGAGTACCGCAATTACCGGAACCGGTGAGCGCGGGGACCCCCGGGGCGCCGCGGGGAGGCTGGCACCCCCTGGCTGGGTGTGCGACCCCCCCCGGGACCCCCGGCTGAAGCGCCGGTGCCCCCCCCGCAGGGTGCAGACCCCCGCCGACCGCCTGCTGATCGTCCCGGCCAACTCCCCGCTGGAGTACCCGGCGCAGGGGGTGGAGGTGCGGCCGCTGCAGACGGTGCTGGTGCCCGGTGAGGGGGCGCGGGGGGAGCACCCGCGCCCCTCGCCCCCAGCCCCCGCTCGCCCTGCAGTGCAGTTCTCCACCGACGGCCACTCCGCCGCCTTCGCCATCCGCATCCGCCACCCGCCCACGCCGCGCCTCTACGGCCCGGGCAGCGCCGGCGACAGCGACAGCGGCGGCGACAGCGACAGCGCCAGCAGCGGGGACGGGGGTGAGCACGGGGCTGCACCCCGAGAGCGGCCCGGCCCTGCCCCCAGTGCTCCCAGTGTCCCCAGTGCTCCCAGTGCCAGCCTCCCAGTGCTCCCAGTGTCCCCAGTGCTCCCAGTGCCAGCCTCCCAGTGCTCCCAGTTCCCGCAGTGCCCGGATCCCAGTGCTCCCAGTGTCCCCAGTGCTCCCAGTGTCCCCAGCCAGCCTCCCAGTGCTCCCAGTTCCCGCAGTGCCCGGATCCCAGTGCTCCCAGTGTCCCCAGTGCTCCCAGTGTCCCCAGTGCCTGACTCCCGGTGCTCCCAGTGACCCCAGTGTTCCCATCCCTGCTCCTTGGGACAGTCCCAGTGCCCTCCGTGGGGGTGTTCAGTGCTCCCAGTGCCCCCAGTTCAGGCTCCCAGCGCTCCCAGTGCTCCCAGTTTGGGCTCCCAGCACTCCCAGTTCGGTCTCCCAGCACTCCCAGTGCTCCCAGTTTGGGCTCCCAGCACTCCCAGCACTCCCAGTGCTCCCAGTTCGGGCTCCCAGCACTCCCAGTACTCCCAGTTCAGTCTCCCAGTACTCCCAGTTCAGGCTCCCAGCACTCCCAGTACTCCCAGTTCAGTCTCCCAGCACTCCCAGTACTCCCAGTTCAGTCTCCCAGCACTCCCAGTTCGTGCTCCCAGCGCTCCCAGTGCTCCCAGTTCAGTCTCCCAGCACTCCCAGTACTCCCAGTTCAGTCTCCCAGTACTCCCAGTTCAGGCTCCCAGCGCTCCCAGTTCATGCTCTCAGCACTCCCAGTGCTCCCAGTTCAGTCTCCCAGCACTCCCAGCATCCCAGCTCGGGCTCCCAGCGCTCCCAGTGCCTCCCCCCCAGGGTACAACATCTCGGCGCTGGTGACCGTGGCCACCAAGACGTTCCTGCGCTATGACAAGCTGCGGGGGCTCATCGCCAGCATCCGCCGCTTCTACCCCTCCGTCACCATCGTGGTGGCCGACGACAGCCAGCGCCCCGAGCCCCTGGCAGGGCCACACCTGGAGCACTACCTCATGCCCTTCGGCAAGGTGGGCACGGGGGCACCGCGGGGCGGGGACACGGCAGGGGACAGGGAAGGGGACAGGGCAGGGGACACGGCAGGGGACAGGGCAGGGGAGGAGACAGGGGAGGAGACAGGGGACAGGGCAGGGGACAGGGAAGGGGACACAGCAGGGGAGGAGACAGGGGACACGGCAGGGGACACAGCAGGGGAGGAGACAGGGGACAGGGCAGGGGAGAGGGAAGGGGACACAGCAGGGGACACGGGAGGGGCAGGAACCCCCACAGGGGACACAGGTTGGTGGCAGGGATACCCACAGGGACAGGAGAGGGTGGCAGGGACCCAGACAGGGGACACGGGGGGGGGCAGGGACCCCTGCAGGGGACAGGGGATGAGGAAGGACCCCAAAAAGGGGACAGGGCAGCATGGCAGGGACCCCCACAGGGGAGAGGGAAGGGGGGCAGGGACCCCAGACAGGGGACACAGCAGGGGGGACAGGGACCCAGACAGGGGACACCAGATGGTGGCAGGGGACACGGGAGGGTGGCAGAGATCCAGACAGGGGACATGGGAGGATGGCAGGGACCCCCACAGGGAACACAGGAAGGGGGAAGGGACCCCAGACAGGGGACATGGGAGGGTGGCAAGCTGTGGGGACCCCAGACAGGGGACAGGGGATGGTGGCAGGGACCCCAAACAGGGGACACAGGAAGGGGGAAGGGACACCAGACAGGGAACATGGGAGGGTGGCAGGGCAGTGGGGACCCCAGACAGGGGATAGGGGTTGGTGACAGGGGACACGGAGGGTGGCAGGGACCCCAAACAGGGGACATGGGGGCTGGCAGAGCCGTGTGGGGCACAGGAGGGGCTGGCAGGAGCTGAAGTCCCCAAAAAGGAGGGGACATGGAGGTCTGGGATGGCAGAGAATGGACACCGGGGTCCTGAGCGGGATGTGGCTGCCTGGGCGTGGCAGGGGGGCTGGCAGGGTGGGGACCCCCAGGGAGAAGCACGGCTGGCAGGGTGGGGGTCCCTGGGGAAGGGGACAGTGGGGAAGGGGGACATGGGAACCCTGCCAGGGCAGGGACACCCCCAGGGAGAGGAGGGGACACGTGAGGGGCTGACAAAGTGACAGAACCCAGGGGGCTCGTGGGGGTTGGCAGGGCTCGAGGGACACGGGGGACACGGGGTGACCCCGGGGATGGGGACACGAGGGGTCTGTGAGGGCTGTGGGATCCTGGAGAAGGGGACACGGGGGGATCCTGGGGATGGGGACACGGGGGGATCCCCAAGATGGGGACACGGGGAGATCCTGGACAAGGGGACATGGAGGGACCCCAGGGATGGGGACACAACGGGTCTGTCAGGGTTGTGGGATCCCCGGATGGGGACACGGGGGGATCCCCGGATGGGGACACGGGGCTCTCTCAGGCCCGCGGGGCACAGGGGTGGCACCGCGGGCACTTGCGGGTGCGGGGCCGTGCCCGAGGGTCCGCGCTGCCCCCGCAGGGCTGGTTCGCCGGGAGGAAGGGTGACCCCGGGGATGGGGACACGGGGGGACCCCAGGGATGGGGACACGGGGGGATCCTGGACAAAGGGACATGGAGGGACCCCAGGGATGGGGACACAACGGGTCTGTCAGGGTTGTGGGATCCCCGGATGGGGACACGGGGGGATCCCCGGATGGGGACACGGGGGGATCTCAGGGATGGGGACACGGGGGGATCCCCGGCTGGGGACACGGGGCTCTCTCAGGCCCGCGGGGCACAGGGGTGGCACCGCGGGCACTTGCGGGTGCGGGGCCGTGCCCGAGGGTCCGCGCTGCCCCCGCAGGGCTGGTTCGCCGGGAGGAACCTGGCGGTGTCGCAGGTGACCACCAAGTACGTGCTGTGGGTGGACGATGACTTCATCTTCACGCCCCGCACGCGGTTGGAGAAGCTGGTGGATGTGCTGGAGAGAACCAGCCTGGACCTGGTGCGGGCACGGCGGGCACGGGGGGCTGCAGGGGGCACGGGGGGTGAGAGGCACGAGAAGGGCACGGGGGGCTCCAGGG